AGTGTCTATTGCCTCTGAGAGGAAAGCAGAGAAGGGAGGGATGCTGTTCGCTCGGGAGCGTGCAGCAGCCTGAGAAGAGGTCCGACTCGAGGCTTCTTTGGAGCTGTAGGCCTCACGGTTGTCAGTAACAGACCATGACTCATCGTTTCTTGTCTCTGAGTCCGTCATAGAGCTGTTTCTGGGACATCTTGGAGGTAGTGGGTGGGAGCGAGCGAGGTAATCGCAGGTAAGGACTGTCTTGCGGACGTGCTCCGCTTTGAAACGATTTTGGGTCTTTGTATGTATTGTGCCCAGTTTGCTGAAGTTGCGTTCAGTGGCACCAGTGTTCGGAACCATGCTGAGGAGACGTGCCACAAAGGAGGCGAAGGCTTTCCCACCTCTCGGGTTGACAGTTCTGAATGATCTCCAAATTCGGACGACGTCCACGTCTACATGCTGCAGGATAAGTAGCATCAGCTCAATGCTCGTGAACATCAACAGAACACTCACCCGGGCATGTGCACGGGTTTTCCAATCCTTGAGTGACATAGACACATCCGACCACCGCCCGACACGAGAGAGATAGTCACTGAATGCTTGCATTACCTCGAAATCGGCATTCTGCTGCATCACTTGGTGAAACAGCCGCTTGAACGTGCTCCAAAGCGATGCCTCGGTAAGGGCCAGGTTGTTAATGTTGAAATAGTCTCGGCGGATGTACGGGTTGAGTAGGAGTGCTAGAATGAAAGCCTCACGGTCATGACCACTTTTCTCCCAGTGTCGTTCAATGAGGCCCAGTATGCTCTTTAGTGCTCGGGGAGAAAGTCGATAATTATTTGCACTGCTAATAAAGCGTGTTATTAACCCGTTATTAACTTGTTATTAACTTGTTATTAACACCCGGTCAGCAGGCCCCTCAAAAGCGATGTTAGAAAGAGTGAATAATTAGCATGTACCATAGGAGGCTCTTACGTGAGTGATAGTACTGACGCTGCTCAGCGACTCGTATGTCGGCCTCTGGCTAAAGCAGCATGAATGGCATATATGATCTCTCTCTGCCTATCTGGTGCATTGAAATGAGAGAGTCTTGTCTTGTTGGCATTTACCACTCCAAGCTAGCCAGCACTCTCAGATGCTTGTCGACATGGTACAGGTTGGGCAGTACTACTACAGACAGGTTCGTGTTCAACAATCAAGTAGTACTTGCTTGCCATGCATACGACAGGCTATTGATGGTTAGCTTGCTTTGCAGGGTGTGAGTACACAAGCACAGCGCCAGAAGTCATCCCGACCGACTGTCAAGTTCTGCAACTTTAGCCAGGACATGCTCAAAGCTCTCCGTGTCTGTGAAGAATTCCCACAACTGCTCCGGAGTCGGCGGATTCCGACTCATCGGATAATGAAGCCGAGTCGATGCCGTCTCAGCACTGTCAAGCCATACACGGTCAACCTGCAACATCTTCAGCCACATCCAATACTCAGGCCAAACCTCCTGATGAGTCCACAACCGGGTCAGGTTCTAGTGATGATGCTGGTCACCGCCCAGTGGGCGCTAGTACTACGGAGCTGCTGCCAAACACAGAGATGGATCTTGTAGCTCCCTCTCTCCTTGACTTGCTTTTGGACAAACTGCTGGTTGACACACAGTCCCCGACTACCCCTGAGAGGGAAGCCACACAGCTGGTGTCACCCTTAGAGCGTGAGGACGATGTCTTCATTGATTTTTAACCCTTTTTAACACACCAATTATTGTTTACACCATCACTAATGCTTTTCTCACATGTTATTAACTGTTTCTTACACTTTTGTTAATAACAGTTAATAACCCATGTTAATAAAGGCCCAGAGCCCATCATGTTATTAACAAATGTAAGAAAGTCAGCAAGGAATTATTCCCCGAGCCCTAATGCTCTTGCCGTCGTTCTGGTTAATGGTAGCTCTGTTCAAGAAGGTATGAACAAGTTTTCCAAGTGCAAGAAGGACAGTATCAAGACGAGTGTTGTCTGCCTGCGCAATATTGATGGCTACCGCAAACGGCTTGAGCTGGGTACAGAGGCTGAGAAATATCATCGAGATTGAGTTTTGAGTTACCTGTAATATAACTCAACTTACATGCTCAGTATATCCCAGAACTCTGCTGATCGTACTTGCAGAAAGAGTTCCCTCGCCTTGGCTTGCTTCCTTGAAGTCTCCTCAGCGTTGTGGCCCTCAGCGTTAGGTTGACAAGCTCATCTAGCTTCGTCAGGAGCAACCATTGGATAGCCTTCTTGACATCAAGCAGGCATTTGCATGCAATGTAGCGAGAAGACCAACACATATTTACAGGATAAAGAAGGGAGAGGGCCCACCCCTCATAGATACGGTGTTGTTCCTCCTTCAGCATTGCGAGCACTCGTGTATGGTTGTTGAACCACTTGATTAGCTCCTCTGCCTGGTCCATAAATGTCGAATAATGCTGCATATGCTTGAAATAGTCGACAACAAGCAGGTTTATCTGCGCAGACAGCACCTGGTCAAATAACCTTTACTTGTAGATATCTCAATAAACCTACCTGATGAGCCAGCAGTCGATTGTGATTAACCAAGGGAATCGTTGGTGAAGACGGTGGCGCATTGCCTTCATATCTCTAGCCGCGTCCGTACAGTATGTGACAAGTGTTATTGACAGGTGTTTGATGCAGTACTGAACCTCATCAACAATCAGTTGGAAGAAGTTTTGAGCAGTCTTTGCAACTGCACTGATGTCGAACAAATTCAATAGCCATGGCTGTCAGGAAATTATCACGTAAATAATGTGAGCAAACTAGTAAGGTTTGAGTTCTTACTGTGTACTGGGCATTCACCGTTGACACAACAATAGAGTCGCGGTTAACGTTCTTCCAGCCATCGCATTGTCCCATTGCGTACTTGGCCCGCACCTCAGCATGCATCTCCTCAGTCACCCGCCTCGCTTCTTCATCCAGTACACATCCTGAGAGGACCTTACGACTAGGCAATTGGGCCTCGGGAACCCAGCATGCGAAGAAAAGCCAAAGGACTGGATCCTCAATGGCTGACCAAGTAATATTACAGGAAATGAAGAGCCGACATAGGTCAGCAGTGAAATCAGCCTGTGTCTTCTCAGTCCATCGCTTCCCTGGCATGTACACTTCAGCATAGATAGGATGGCTTGCAGTCTCCATGGCGGATACATTTCTGCCAGTAGATCCCACAGAATGGGCGACCTTCTGGAGCTCGGACTGCAGGAGAACAGGGTCAATCGGCACTGCATTCTCCACACCACTAGTTGCTTGCAAGATCATTGGCTCCGGGCTTGCAGGAGGGAATGAGAGAGTACTAGGGGTAGAGGTGGAGAAGCTCGGCTTGGAAGAGAGACTGGACAGTGATTGCGATGGGGTAATGGCTGTGGACCGTGCTGCCAAGGGGCCACGTGAGTTTCGCTGACCATTCTCCTTCTCTGCCAGCTGTGCAAGATGCTGTATTGCTGCAGCATTGGCTGCCTTGTCATGTCGAGCCCTGTATTCACTTTGTACCTCCTCTTGAAACTCGGTTTCTTCAGCCCAATGCTCACAGTGAAGCAAATGCCATAGCAACAGATCAATCTTGCCACACACGGAAGGTACATGCTCTGTGCGCATAATTTTCAGAGACATTGAGATTGTAATTCAGAAGCCTATTACAGCAACTCAACTGACCTTCATCAGCAAGTGCTTCCTTGAACCGTGGTTCAGGTGCTGTTGCTGACTGCCGTGCCAGAGCAACCTCCTGCGCTAGCATCTCGCGAACAACATATTGCACACACCTCTGGCAAAATGCCTTATGGTGTGTTGCATCATTTTTGTACTTTTCAGAGCTTTCGTGGTGTTGAACTTCCAGATTTGTGTACTGGCTATACCAAATCCAGATGTGCACTGTGGCAGTAACACACTGCATGGTGGGCAGCAGAGCACTGCATGGTGGCAGTGTAGCACCGCATGGATGTTCCTTCTCATATGCCTGATATGGTAGTTCTACAGACAGTTCTATGATACGCCTGTACTTTAGCATCCGGACATCTTTGTAGTGCGTTCTACGCTGTTCTGGACTTGTCTGGATTTCTCTAAACAATGGTGTGATACTTACACCATCCTCACACCATCATCTTATTCAGCGTACTGTAGATCACATGCTCTCCTTTTCTTTGCTTACTCATGCGTCCTCTGGACTTGTATATAAGGAGGACATTCGCTGCCCCAGCTCTTCAGTCTTCGCTCATTGACTGAAGATCTACTTGTGCGGCTCACAGGATGCCTTCAAGGTTCAGACTTCATCACGTGGAAGTAAGCCCACCATCTTGACTTTGAGGTCTTCGGCATGAGAGTCAAAGGTAAGGAGGCAACTACTCATATTATTTAGCTGCTAGGCAGTATATACAGATCACTATGACGACACTGGCAAAGGCCCGTGCCTCGAGGTCATGGTCCGACGTCAAAGACGAGGCCGTTAGCTTGGTGCAGGTGAGAGAACATTCTCGTTATGGCAAACATTTCTGCCGGGAGCGAAAAGGTCACGTGCTGACCTATGACCACTCGCTGACCCCTGGCCTGACCCGGGGTCTGACCCTTGACGGTCAAGGGTCAAGGGGTCAGGCTGGGCCACACTTGTTCAGTAGATGAAACGCGCAAGGCTTGTTTCCTGAGATGTCCTCGCCACGACTCGAGACACTCACCCACTGCAGATGCTCGAAGATATGTGGCTCTACGTGCCATTTCAACGCGCATCGGGTAAAATTTCTGTCAAAAGACCCGCAGTACAGCGCTCGTCTAAGAACTAGGCTCCCATCGCTTCAATAGACGTGAAACGGTTGACCGGCGGCGGTATCGGCTAGGAGGGTCTAGGTAGCAGAGGGAATGTATGGAGGCACAGATATTTCACTGACTTTTCATGCAGGTTTGGAATTCTGGGGCTGCGAGATGCACAACGCGTCCTGTCGTTTCGCCTCCTACACGGCACTGGTACCGAGCACCCCTTTCCATTAGCATGCCTTCTTAGCTCAGTGGTAGAGGGCGCCACACGTACTCTGGCGAGTGCATGGTGAGGTCGGTTGTTCAATCCAGCCAGGAGGCATGGAGTATGTTGTTCACGACATATCCTGGCGAGGTACTGTACTACTGTATTTCCATATTATCAGCGCTCGTGCGGGAGAGCATCACCGAGGTGCGGCCTGCGTCTTGGCTGCGAGAAATTCCGGTCAAAATGTACTGTACAACAGGGTATAAGCTGCGAGCTCTAGCATACACCTGCAATCCTGATCAGGGCGGCCGCGGTCCTCCTCACTATCAGCACAACTTCCACAGTCCATCTTTGACCATTACCAAGCCCTCCCTGCGCGCGGCCTCCATGAACTCGGCGAGCTGCTCGATGGTCCTATCGTAGCCTGGCGCGAACCTGAGCATGGCCTGGATCCGCGCAAGCGGCAGCGCACCCAAGTTCGTGAGCATGCCCTCGATGAACTGCACCGTGCATGATCAGATCCCGCGCGAAGAAGGCATAGACGAAGAACGGACCTTCCAGAACACCGTCATCTGCTCGGCCTGCTGCCGCTGCACCGTCAGCGGAGGAGGCTCTTCGACCATCGGCGCTGCATTGAGAAGGGGTCAGCAACGAACATCATGGCGGGCAATGGACACGCACGTGGCCTGGCAGGGACCTTCGAACCAGACCGTGTCGCCTCGGCGATTTCGAGCAACCTGTACCGGTTCTCGTCCTCGTCCTTGAGCACGCCGAGGTCAATCCAGGTCGTTAGGGCTTTTACGATGGCGGTCTTCTCGACGGACTTGAATTCGGCGACGAGCTCGTCTATAGTCCATGTATCTGCGCAGATGATCTCGACGAGTCACTCCTTTACCATTGCTGAAATATGGTTGCGCTGACCTTTCCGCGAGAAGAGGTCTATGATTGACGCTTCGAGCGGCGGTACTTCTGCGCTGACCGTGCGGTCCTGGAGCTCGATGTCCAGCTGTATCGTCCCGAGGTGCGAGAGCCAGTGCAGTCGCTTGTCTGGTTTGAACAGGTGGTATTCTTTTGCGTACGCCTCCTGGATTCTGAGGCTGCCGTCAGCGGGGGCAGGGATTCCGAGTGGCTCTGATGCATACTCCTTGAATTGACCCGGCATGGTGAAACTGTTCGTCTGCAGCGGCGGCCAGAAATGTCTTGAGATAATCGTCGGATGGAGGGGCATCTGCGAAAACATTGAGATACCACAGGTGACAGATAGGTGGTATGTACGTACGGGCTTCTGGGCTTGCACGTGCTGGTCGATACGACGCGAGTCGGTCATGTCACGCAGCATGACCTCGCACACCTGCAACGCCGCTTCTCCGAAGCGTATCTTAAGGATCTCGATGTTTCTCCTCTGCATGACGTTTGTGTCTGAGTACGCATGGCAGACAAGGGAGTTGCCCCGAACTTAGGACTCACCTCCCGCTCGTAGTTGCCGTCTTTGATGGCGAGCAAGCGCTGCGTCAGGAGCACCTGCAGCTCCTTGACGAAGAGGTCCTTTGAGTCGTATATGCTAACGAGAGTGCTTATGACGTCGCTGGGTTTGTTGGTCCGGAAGTCTGAGACTAGGCATAAGCTGGTGATGGTGAAGATATAAGTAGAACAGACTACCTGGGCCGGCGTCGATGGGCTCCGGCTCCCAGTTTGGGTCCGTGTAATCATCCGCCTGCATCTGCTGCAAGGGCTGAATCGGCTCATTCTCGTCGACTAGCGAGTCACCGCTCTCGCCGTCGCCTACAAGGCTTGCTACGATACAACGAATAGTGTCCGGTCGTTCCCTGGAAGCAGAGGTCCAATACAGGAGGCCATGAAGAAGGGAAAGGGGCAGACTCACCTCAGATACTTGCGTATCGGATCTGCAACCTTGTAGAGCAGGACACCTGGTGGGTCTATGATCCGCAGACATCGAATAATAGAGACATATTGTGTCAATATATCCTTTGTGTCTGCGCCCGGATGCAGAAGACGCTTCTTATTGCTATGAGGGGTTTCAGTATAGCCAATGCGATGTGCTGGATGCGACCTACGCTTTGCGCAATGTGATCACCAACTGACTGCGCTGGTCCACACGATGTAGACATTCCTGGAGACGACCACAAAGACGGTCAACCAACATGTTGACATGCTCAAGTCCAGGTCGTAAGGAAGCGACCTTCAAATCCTGTAGCGCACCCTGAGAATCAGGATAATCGATGATGATGTCGAAAATTTCCTCAATGCTGAACCCGTCGATGTCAGCGATGACACGGGCAAGATCATAGAATAAAGCCTACCGTAGGTCGCAAAGCGTTTTGTAAATGTGGTAGTCAAGCCTTGAGCCGATACCTTGCAACATCGAGCGTGCTTCCTCGGCTACGAGTCTCACTTAATCTTCGAGTGCTGAGTCAATCAGTTGAGACAACACGGACCGCTTCTGGCGCCGCGAGCGTACGGCATGACCAACCAAGGGACAATTTTATCCGTCATCCAATCCCTCAATTTTGGCAACACGGACTCGTCCCACTTCTTCGCACAGGTCCCGTACACGTGTGCCTCGATGTGCTCGTAACAGACGCTAGAAATGAGCGACTCATACCGTTCTAAAAGACCGAGAGTTTCACAAGCCATCCAAAGCATATAATCCGGACGCGGCGGCTGCTCTGTCGTTGGCATGTCCTGCGGGATCGCCCATGGAGGCGGGTTAGATGCGCTAGCAAGGACAATTGTTGACGCGATCAGCTGCTTGAAGCCTCGCAAGAAGGAGGGGGGAAAGATGGAGAAAAGGTGTGTCTGAAACGTAAGAGTATAAGCAGAGAGGATAGTAGGTCCTAATCTGGAACACGTTGGTGAGTCGAATCTTGGAATCGTGAATATCGCACAAAGCCGGCATACTCTGTGATCGGCTTCCACGCGTTGTACCACGCGACCAGGCGGAAGATGAGCTGCATGATGGTCTCCGCTTTGCTTGAGCTCTGAGCAGACTGCCTTCACTATCTAGTCACTGACCAGTCAGTCGTGAGACCTACCTCGTACTCAGCTATATACTGTTGGACGTCTCGCTCGATGAGATATTGCTGCGCTCGCATATCGTCTTCAGGACGTTTGGTGTGGTTCACTGTCAACTGCGGTTGAGGGTTATACACAGACATACCTAAGAATTTATCGAGGATCATAGCAAGCATCCGTGCCTTTCCGACCAAGTCAAAAGCTGCCCGAACTTGTTGCACGTCTTGCCGCAAAGCTCAGCTTCTACCTAGTGATTTGGACTGACTACTGCTCAGACGCACCATGCTTTTTGACGGAATTGGGATCGTTGATATCTCGAGGATACAAGAAGTCTGACGCTAGTTTCCATGCCTGGAGGCAGCATGATATAATCCCTTTCATAGCGTTCACTGATACCGCCGGGTGGCTTACCTCGCTGAACGACAACAGTCCCTGGATCCCTGGCTCGGTGCCGTTAAGGCGTTCAAATGCTTTCTGCCACTTCGCCGAGGTATATAAACGTAAGGATTCCGTCGCCATTGAGTACGAGCTGAAGCCACACGAGGACGTCGGGAGGCAAGTGTGGAAGCAGGAAAAGGCGTGTAGCAACGCTAGCTAGCCACCTGTCGCGCTCGCGGCTCGGGAGAGTCGGTGGTGCGACACGAGAGAGAGAGATTCACGCTAGAACTGACAGGTTACGAGTCCGTCGATTCAAGCAGAATGCTATCGTAGTACAAGAGGTCGTTAGACTTATATAGAGAACTAGAGATGAGACCAGAATTATTATCTAATCAAGAGGAGGCAGGAAGGAGAGACGAAGGTTCAGAGACTGTTTAGGGTCAAGCTCAGAAAGGAAGGTGGTCGTGTGAGGAAGTCGTAGCGCACGCCGCTACATTCGCCCTCCGGGTATCGTACCACGATGCTCAAGTGAAGTCCGAATATGCTGCTAATCAAGTAGGTCGATAGGGCTTCCAAACGCGTCTAGAGGGTCAACGCCATCAAAGCCGGTCATAGCTTCAATCCCTACCGCGGCGAGAGCCAATGTCGTTTCCTCGTCGACTTCGATCGGATCCTCCGGCAGTCCAGGGAAAGGGATCGCGTTGTCCGTCTCGCCAGGGAGAGAAAGAGGCACCATCGCGCCCGGCTCGCTGGAGGGGGAGAGAGGGAGGACCGTGCTCGGCCTGTGGACAGGCGTGAGAGGGAGCACAGCGCTCGATTCGCAGGCCGGAGCCACAGTGAGGGCAGTGCTCCGGTCGGGAGCCGGCGAAGAAGCCTCTCGCTGGCGTTTGCGGCGGGAGGAAGCGCCTTTGTCGACGTGGCCCTTTCCTTCGCCCACCATGGCCTGTTCCCATCTGCGGTGGTTCCGTGCCCTTTCGCGCTTGGCCTCGCGAGCCTCGTACCCCGCTCGAGCGTTGTCGGTGGCCCGGAGGCTGTCGTGAGCAGTACGGAGAAGGAACCGCTTCAAGAGCTGTTCTTCCTCGGTGGTCTGGCGCGGTGCATCCGCGAACGTCGTCGCCAACCCGTGAGGTAGGACGTACGTTGGGGGGACTGGCTTCCGAAGATGGGTAGGACCTCCTTTGAGAGGTGCGAGCTCGTGCTGAGTGGCGGCATCCATGTTCCAGATACGCCGGAATGTTTCGTAGCCCGAAGGGATTGGTCGGCGAGCGAAGTCGAGTGAGAGGATTCCTTTGCGGCGGAGCTCCTCGTCGAGATCGAGGAAGAGACGAATCTGAGCCGGAAGGAAGAGGTAAGCGACACGAGCCTCGGGGTCCCTGGCTATGAGGTCGCCGTTGGGTAGGATGGTGAGGAGTGGATGCGAGTAGGCCATAGGGTACCGAGTCGGAACTGACGGTAGTATGTGAACGATGGGGCGCGAGAGACGGTACGAGGAAGGAGAGGGATGGCTGTGATGGGTGTAGTGTTGAGTGGGGCGAGAGTCGGGGATTTGCTGACATTTTATAGGATCCTGTAGCACGGCGAAGAGGTCTCGGAAGAGTATGTTCAGGGTGCCTACGAATATCTGAGGATCATCGGGTGGTTGACTCTTGCCTTCAGGAAGCTCCGAGACAGATTTGACACCGGCCGCCTCCAGATAGCTCTCG